AGACGCCGGCTGGGAGCCTCCCGCTCCCGGCCAAAACAAATTTGGCAACCCTATTTGTGCTCTGGCCATTGTGTGACAGAGTGTCGGACTGGATGGTAACCCAAGATGATCTATGCCAGGGGCCTGTGACCTACAGCTCTAGAGCCAAATGGAACTCCCAGAGCTTACTAAAAAGCTGGAAAGTTGCCAGGAATCCAAGTTCAAACTATGCACAGATATATGTGAGTACATGGAAACCATTATGCTAGGTGTTCCTGTGTATTTATTACTTACTGTGAGACTTCATGTGCATGGGACAAGTTTTGATAAGTCAGGAAGTCCTTATATATACCTATCCTCATTACATGCCAGCACAATAGATTATTTAGCTGTTTCACCTGCACTTTTAGACCAAGTTGACTATTTTGAAGTGTCCAACTAGTGATCATTGTCCCCTAAAGCTAGTATTAAATTTTAACAGTTGTATTCTTTTGGCCTCTACATTTGATCCCACTGTAGATTTGACTCCTGGCTACAGGAGACATAGGTGGTCAGAACAATAGGAAAAGAGGAGGGCTTGGAATAAAAGATCTGGAGCAGCAGGAAAAGCTGTTCTTTTTCCCAGAGAGCAGAGCCAGAAGGAAGGCTGCTGCGGAAAGAGACCCTCATCCTGAGGGAAGGGTGAGTAGTATAGTGTCACTTGGAATAGTGAGCTAGGGACAGTATATATTTAGACGCATTAGGGCATTTGATTTCTTTTCTTTTCACCCACTTACTGTTATTATTCTGCACCTTGTTGTTTGACCTCCTATACAATAAACTATTTTCATTGTTCACCCTGTCTGGTCCTCACGCCTATTATTTGGCCAAAAGGGAGGTCTAAAGGTCTTGGGAGGGTGCTCTGGGCCTTCTCAAGGGAGCCTGGAACCAGAGTGGTGGCAGCGTCAGGTGACACCCCACCTGAGCCGTGACAGGAACCATTATTAAATCTTTGGCATCAGGTAAATCACCCACAGAGGACTTGATTCCTTCAGATTTAATAAAAACCTTTCCCAAGTGGTGGACTCCAATACTCTCGAAACTATTTAACCAAATAAATAACACGGACATAATAAATAATACGGTCATATTCCCAATAGGGTGGAAAACCAGGATAGTAGTCCCCATACATAAAAGGGGGGACAAAACAGACCCAAAAAACTATTGCCCCATAAGCCTCCTTGATACAGCATCCAAACTGTATGAGAGATATCTTCTGTTATTTCTGCTCTCAGATGCAGACCCTACCGTTTCCTATAGGGTAGCACTCTTAGCGGCTAGTAAAATCAGGGCCAAGAACATAGTCAAATGAAATTCAACTGTAAAATGGCGATGTAAAATGGCGATGTAAAACGGCAATGTAAAACGGCAATGTTTGAGGCTGTGTATGTGTTTCTGGAGATGGGTATCTATATTTAAGATTTTAATTAATTTAAATACTGAATGAGCAGATTTTTAGAGGTTGTTATAATTCCAATCTAATTCAAATTCCAGTGCTGTAAACTGTCAAATTTGTACATTTTAACAAATTGTAATGATTAATGGCTACACAATAACTTTTACTGTCTATCATGTGCACTGCTTCCTGATAAAGAACAGGCAACAGTCAGTGTTTGGGCTGTGGAAACTGTATCCACATGTCCATTATGACGAGTAATGTTCATTTTGATATTGTCAGCTATGCAAATCGGCTTTCTTTGTTTCTGGCTCTTTGTTAATCTCTTGCTCTGAATTTTGACATAATTTGGTTGTTAATTATAAACAGATGCTGCTACATGTTTATGGACATGAGTTTTCCCTAAGAGGACAAATAGCAATTCCCTGGGGCTGTTTCAGGTCAGGAAAATGAAATGGGATGGGGAGGTTTAAGCCTCCTTTTCCTGTGCACTGCAGCCCCCATCTAAATCTGGCCCTTGCACACCTGAGAACTGGGAACTCTCAGCACCTGTCCGCTTGACAGGAGCCAGGGCAGACTTGTAAACTCTATGTACATTCAGGCCTTTTCAGCTAGTGGGACCTGGAGTTTTTCTGGAATGATAACTGATTTCCAGACCACAGAAATCTCCTTTCCTGAAGGAAATGTCAGCTTCAGACGCTGGACTCTATGCAATGACATCTCTGCTAAACTCCCTTCCAAATTCCACCCTCCCAAGTCGCCACCCCCAAATCTCCAGGAATTTCCAAAGCTGAAGTTATGTTTTCTGAGGAAGGTCATCCGTGCTGTGAAGTTATTTTTGCTTGGGCACACTTCCAGGAGGGAAGCCCTTATCATCAGACAGAGAACCCAAAGGCCCAGCAATAAGAAGTCCAAGAAGTTGGATGTTGGGGGTGGAAGTGGAGCAGAAGCATCGGGGATCCCTTGGAGCGGTGGCGCAGAGGATTTATCCTCTGGTTAACATCTGAACTGAACAGAGCTGCTGCCAGTTCTAGCCCGCGCTGGTGTGAGCTACCAGCCTTGTCCCCAGCTCGCCGTCCACCCAGTGGTTCGAAAGCTTCGGCGAGTAGATAAAATGGGTACCACTCTTTAGAGAGGGTGGGCACACTAAACCCCTGTGGGGGAGGTGTTAGCCGGAGAACGGAAGGTCCAGCTCGGAAGCTCGGAAGCCCGGAAAAAAGACCTCTTCGGCATTAAGAAGCCTGTGATGAGCCAATCCGGCCAGGCGGTGGCAGTGTGGCACTACGACTCAAAAAGCAGTCCGGGAAGAATTGACGTCATCTAGCCATGCCAAAAGTGAATGCCGTCCGGAACGCGCCTGAAGCTTACAGCTGAACAAAATCCCCATCGGCTGCAAAAGCGTGCAATTTAAAGAATTATATGTTGTCCTCCCTTACCCTATGAATCATTGTTAGTCCCGTGTGAAAACTTGAATAACTGTAAATCGCTCAGAGCCAGCAGCTCTGCAGGATGAGCGATCAATAAATCAAAAGGTATTATTATTATTAACCTCCTCTCAAGCAATGTCCTATCTTCTCCTCTTTTCTCAGTTTCCTATCAGGCCCAACCATTGCTCCTATATTTCACTTGTATCATTGCATAGAGAACAGGATGGAATTGTGGACTTCAGATATCCATTTTAATTACAAATACACTAAGCGAATAGACTGGATAGGCAAGAGCAGCTTGAAATTCCATAAAGGGTGGGATCTCACCCAGCCAAGCACACTTGCACGGAATGTATGAGCCACTCTGGAAGCTGATTGGGCTAGAAATCAGAGTGCCGATACATTAAAATGATTGACTAGATATTCTTTTTTTATTATTAACAATTTTTAATCACAATAGGATACCAAATAGGTACAATTTTTTTCTGGTATTGCATAGGTGAATTGTTACCAGTGTTAAATGACAATTTGCTTAAAATAAAATAATCCCAGATTTTTATTAGCCACTGTTGAACGGAGGGGACTTGTTTTTCTATCCATTTGGTTGCTATCAATTTTTTTGCTATCGTCAAAAGTATAGAAACTGATTCTTGTTGTCTTGATGTCATTTGAATGTCATTCCAATATTCTAGTAATACTACAGCTGGGTTTAAAGGAATTTTTATTGAAACCATTTCTTCTATTTTGTTAAGTATGTGGATCCAAAATTTTTGAATTAAAACGCAAGACCACCAGCAGTGTATCAGATTTGCTGTTTGTCCACATTGTTTTGTACAGTTAGATGTAAATTTCTTGTTTATACTATGTCTTATTTTTGGTGAAATATTCTATCTGGTAAGTATTTTAAATGCCTGAATTTTAATAGTGAAGATTTTAGATGTTTGACTGGGGGAGCACCAAGTCTGGGGGAGTTCCGTCTTCTTCAGTTAGTTTGAGATCTTCTGACCATTTTACCTGATATAACATTGATTTTTCTTCATCTGCCTTATTTAACATGTGATATATTTTTGTAATTAAACCTGATTCTTGTTCTTTTCCTTCATTTAATAATGTTTCAAAAGGTGTCATGTGTCATGTTCTAATCTGTTTCAATTGGGGTATTGAATAGATATTCTTGATGAATGAGGAAACCATAAAATGTGCAAATTTTCTTCAGGACAATGAGCTCAGGTACTCTTGCAAAACTGAATTCCTGAATAGCCAGCTTTATGCATGCTTTCTCAGAAGTAAGTCCCACTATGTTCAACGGAGCTTAGATGCACAGGATTGGACCCTTTATCTGGAAAGATCTGCCTTGGTTTTGCAGCTTGATTTTAAACAGGTGTAGTCAAAAGTCAGTCCTATTGATGTCCAAAGAACTTACCTCCATATAAACCTACTTAGCAGTGAAGCAAAGTGCTTTACAAGGTTTATCCTCCCAATACCCCAAGTCGCTCTCCCTCAGAATCTCTTCCCTCATTTTTGAAATGGCAAATGGAAAAGCACGGCATTCTCCTAATGTTTATCCTCACAATAATCAGGATTACTGCAAAGATAAACATGGTGAGGATCCCATTCTTTCACTATGAAAAGATTTTGACTTGCCCTAGTGCCTGACCGATTTAGTAGTAACTTCGTTACTCTTGATTCAGCAGCTTGAGAATTAAAAAGGTGCAATTTCATTTTATTTTCTAACACGTCGTCATAGATGCACAAATCCCAGGCAATTTAGATCAAACTGCCTGAAACTGCCAACCTTTTATTCCGCCCTCCCCCTTCCCAAACAGGACTTCTTTGCCCTGCAGCCCTTCCTATGCCTGTCTCTCCGTGCCAGGCAGAATTTCAGATAGAAAAGCTGCACCAGTTAGATTTCCGCCTGTCGGATGAAGCAGTCTTTCTTTAACCAGTCTACCTTTGCTTCTACAGTTCTATCGCCAGCTGTTCCTCACCACTCCAAGCTCCGCCCTTTCGGGCTGCCTCTACCTGCCAAAACCACGCCCCCGGCTCCTCTGCCCTCACGACTAAGAGGGGCGTGGCTGCCCGCCTCCTCCTTGCGCGCCTCCCCCCCTTCTGCTTCTACTGAAGTCCTCGGCGCGCGCATATTTCCGGCCAGGCCGGAAGTGGAGCCGAGAGGGTAGTTGGGCGTCTCCAGGCGGAAGTAGAGCAGCCGGGAAGAGGCGAGCTAGAGTGAGGTGAGTGAGCCCAGGCTATGGCAAAGGTGGGCGAGCCGCACCCTGAGGTGAGAGGGTGGCAGGAGTGGTCCCCTGCCCCACTCAGCTTGGACTGGGCTGAGGGACGAGTTAGGTCGGGGGTCGGCGTTGAAGGGGGGTGACTAAATATTGAGGAGGCTTGAGTGGTAGACATGACGCATGTCCGAACTGAAGGCGAGAAAAAAAAGCAGGCAGCGTCTCGGGGTGGGGTGGGAGAGAGTCGTAAGCGTGTTAAAAGTAGTCATAATGATTGCAGTCCTTGGGTGGGGATGCATTTTGTCAGGGGAGGCCCTGCCCAAGTTGCAAGGCCATTGGCACGTTTGTCGCTGAGGAAGGGAGCTCTGACTCACTGGAGCTTCTGCTGGAATTCTGTGCATTTTGCTAGTCTGGAAGGTGTCAGTGGGTTCTTGCTTCAACAGACCTCGCACTGTTAGCTTTCTCTAGTGACTGCCACTGTAATGTCACTGTGTTTTCCTCATTTATTCAATGGATGGGGTCGTTTGCATGGGGGTTCCCTTTTCTACAGGTTTGTCCCTGCCCCAGTGAAATGATGCTTGGGCTGTATTGGGGGGGATGGAGGGAGGCTTTTCCAGTGTATCACGTGCTTGACAGGTTCATTCCTGATACAGGTCTTGATACCCTTCTATTGCTGTTAGAATAATATCATTAAATTATTATTGCTGCATTAGGTGGGGCCGGAGGTGACTTGACTAGCTTTTCATTTGTGCAGAAGTCATCTTCATGAAGAGTTTCCAGTCACTGCAAACCTACCTGGGCTTCAGGCCAGTTGAAAATAGTTAGTGTCACCTAGATGTTTTGGCAGGACTCAGAATTAAACCTTCACAACCCCCCTCCCCGTGCATTAAAAAAACTGAAACATCTTTTTTTCTTGATCACGGCCATTTTATTTATTTACTGAGGGAGGGGGAAGTAGGAATAGTGATATTTAAATGCTCAGTGCTTTTTGTTGGGATGATGATGAAGAAGAAGAGATTGGATTTATACCCCCCCCTTCACTTGGCGTCTCAAAGCGGCTTACAAACTCCTTTCCCTTCCCCTCCCCACAACAGACACCCTGTGAGGTGGGTGGGGCTGAGAGAACTCTGACACAAACTGCTCTTTTTCAAGGACAGCTGTGCCAGAGCTTGTGACTGACCCAAGGTCACATCAGCAGGTGCAAGTGGAGAAGTGGGGACTCAAACCCGGTTCTCCCAGATTAGAGTCCGCGCACTTAACCACTACACCAAACTGGGGTATTGGCTTTAGTGTGGGTGGAGAAGGAAGACTGTCTGTTCTCTTGCATTTGAAGCACTTCGATGAAGAGAGAATATAATAAGAACACAGTATGGTATATTAGGAAAGCCAGAATATATACCGGATGGGGTGAAAAGGTGTATGAATGCACTGTGGGAGATGACGATCCCTCAGAAAGGAGATGCATTGTTTGAGCAGGCAATGTGCAACTTAGCCAACTGGTATCTGATACAAAAAAATGGTAGGCACAAAGGGTTTACCTTAAGAACTGGTTATCACAGTTACATCTTTTAAAACTGTGAATTAAAGACACAATTGTGGGTAAAAGGGTAGTTTGATGTGAAAATGGCAGAAAGGATGCAGTGTGGAGAAGATAATGGTGTCTGGTGTAGAAAGATTTTTTTTTCAGTTACAAGTGATGTGCAGTCTGAACAGGGCAGTGGGGAGGTTGGAGTTGGGTCCACCTTGGTATAGGGGGAGTTTTTGAGATTGAAGACAGTATTTTACTGTGGTGATGCTGGCTGGGGGCAGGCAGATTTTCAGCTAGTAGTTGCGTGTGAGACTGTGTATTAGGAAGCTGAGTGCTGGAGCCAGCTCCTTATGGAAGATCTCCCCACCATTCTTCCTGAGTTTTGTCATTGTTTGCTGTGTGTGAGTTGGTGGCTTCTAGTGTGTGGGTGACAAGGGCTTTGGAATTCATGCAGAAGTGAGCTGGGGCAGCTGCTGGATAACATGACCATGTGACCTTGCAGTTTTCCTGTCGGTGGGTGGCATAGGCAGAATCCTTTGGAAGCAATGGCTGATTGTCAGTAGAGATGCTTTACCCTTTCTCATTGTTCTTCTAGAACTTGGGAATTGCCTAGTGAAATGGACTAGCTGTAGGTTCTGCACAGAGATAAAGTAGTATTATTTTACATGCTGCATAAATAACTTAAGGGATTCACTACCCGAGGATGCAAGGATGGCTGATTGCTTTAACTT